TGCTTTTTTTTTTTTTTTTTGGTGGACATTCAGTACGTTACTAAGTGTTTATATCCAAAAGACTGTGCAGTTGTCTGTTTGAAGAATGAAGATGGTCACCTGCATATAAATACCGGTGACAGGAACTCCTAAAGCTGAATCTTCATATACAATTTTGAGGAAGCAAATACTTGATGGGAACATTTTTACAAAACAATCATGGGCTAACAAAAATAAAGGCAGGTCAGCTGAAAAAGCAGTCCTGAAGAAACTGTCTTCAAGTTTAATTTTTTTGAAACCTAGGGATATCTTCCGTAGAGGATTCTTCCCTCCCCCAGAATTTTGTGTTGGTTTCCCTGAAGTAATCATTCCCCCCCTTGCAAAAGTTTGTGTATATACTATATTGGTAGTTTTGCCAAGTAAAATGCAGTCTAATAACTGCATTTCTTTTGCATTAAGAGTTCCATGTTGAATCTGACTATCATAGCTAGCAAAAATGTTGATATGACCACAGTACAATTCTATTTAAATAAATCAAGAACCTATGTTCATTTTTGTTAAAGCTCAGCAACCGATGTTTAGTTGAGTTGCTTTTGGGGCTGCAGCCGTGTACACTATATATACTGTATGCATTAGAAGGGCATTATATTTACATTGTTACATAGTGAAATGTGTGTTAATAGTTCAGTAGGTGACCAGGACAAATATTATCATTTATTACTACTGTTTACAGCTGGTCAGTCTAGTGTTTACTCACTCTGATTACAGCCTTAAACTAAACCTTTTATCTGTCAGTTCTCCTGATTATATATAACAGACTTGCTACTATTACTTATCAGCTAAAACATAAGGGATTTGTTGGGTGGGGGGGAGTTGATCTTATTGCACACTGATAAAAACAAAAGGGTCTAGAAGTAGATTGGGAGCATTTAAAAGCACCTTTTCCTCAGCGGTTTGTAACCTCTTGCTTTCCCCAAGGACCATGGTGGTTAAATATATATGTGCTTAACACACCAACCCCCCTCCCAAACAAAACAAACAAAGTTTAGTTGGTATCCACAAATGTAAAGATTACAAATCATTTTACTCAGATTGCAAAACTCATTCTCCCAGAGCCAAATTCAGATGTAGCATAATTGGATGCCACTTCATTGGAACACAATGGAATGGTCATCACTTATGTCAGATCTGAATTTGATGCAGCTTATTTGACTGCTTCTGTATAGCATTGAGTAGGGATGTTATATATCAGCTTGTTTTGAGCGGATTTGTCAAGAAAGGCCAGTTAAACTACCAGTTACCAGTGTTGCATTTTTAGTATACAGTTCACTTGCCACATCATTAAAAGTCGGGCATTTTTACTTTTGCATAATTGTGTGACTATTTCTGTCATATACTAGGTTCCACCACAAATTTTTCTCGAAAAACAAATATATTGTATCATTTTTTTCGTTGGTATCCACAAGTGTATAATTTGAATGATCATCAACTGGTTGGGTTTTTTACTAGTTTGTTTTTAATTATATTGCTGTTAAAGACCCTGACATTTATGGAATAGTTAATATCCAAAGATGTTCCCCTGCATTTTGCAACTGAAAGTAAATTTTTATTTTTATCCGGTTCATTTATAATGGAAAGCTTTAATTAAAGTTTAATGTATTTGTCAATTTTAAATTACGCCATCAGACATTTCAATAATTTACTGGTTTAGCCATCAGTCAACATTAATAGGTTCTAAAATACTGAAAGCTTCGTGAGTAACATATCTGTTACAGTATTGATTAGAGTATTACATGTGACACAACATGACAAACACTCAAAGAAATGAGTACATTCTAGGTTTCTTTGGGCAAAATGGGAAGTCATGGAGTGACTTGAATCTGTCTGAAATGATTAATCTGCCTAAATAAAACACATTTTTTGGGGGGTGGGGTTAAAAGCTGTTACTGCCTTCTCAGATTTTGTGTTCCAAAGATTCTCTGACTTTGTGCTTTGTGTGCAGCTCCTGTAAACATGGCATACAAATCTTCAGTTTGAAATATTTTTCTGTGAAAAAAATCATTCTGCTGGCCTCACACATGCACTGTTTTTTGTTGTAATACATTTTAACTGCCAAAGCTTTTTTTTTAAGAGCTGGGGAAGGTTCTCTTGCATGAAAAATGTACAGAACAGATACTCATTGAACCTCAACACTGAATAAAGATTTACTGTACATTACTGTACTTATACAGCTTCACTTTAAATAGCTAAATAGAGTATTCAGTCCAATTAACTATGCCCCCCTGAGTAGATAGCTGGAGTCTTTAGGAAGAAAGAAGTTCCATTATTTCAAGTGACAATACTTTGTAACAGTCCATAAAATAAAAATGAGAAAATACAGGCTTTGATATATCAATAGCAGAGACTACATTGCATGAGAAATAAGAGGATGGAGAAAGTAAAAGATATGTTCACTCATGGTATGAAAGGCAGTAGTTACCTGCAATGGTGGATTTGTGCTTTTTCCCCACTCTCCCAGCTGCCACTCCAGCTGAAATATCAGATACAGTTGTTTCTTTAGGGACCATGAGTAGCTAAATGTTTAGCAACTGTTTGAAGAACTAGATTAGAAGATGTTGTGAAGCCTTGGAGCTTTGAGGGGAGTGGGAAGGGGGCTGTTTGCAGTGTGGCAGGAGAAAACTGTTTCCTTCAAGTGTTTATATGTAGTATTTCCAGTAGGTGTGAGAGTGAGGAATGTTATGAAGCAAACACTTTTAAGTCAGCATTATTGGGTCTAGAAATTCCAGCTTTAAAAATAAATATGTAAGAGAAGTCAGCATGGAAAAGTTTGCATTCATTGCCTAACAATTCCACTGTATGCAAATAGCTTTCTGGTCAGTTGCTATACTAATATCAAGCAAAGACACAATGACAATCATTTAAAGCCAAAACTAATATATTTCTTGATTCTTTTATACAAGTTGATTGTTTTTTAATTACCCTTTAACTTGAGGGGGTTTTTTAATAGATGTTCAAAAGTATTGAAATATGTGTGTTGGACTATATTTTTAAATCAGTTTAATTTGAAATTGACTACCTTGGTCTTTTGATGAATAAATATTCACCTTTTTTAATACATTGTCTTTGCTTGCTTTCACTCCTTTTCTTTTAAAAGTAATCAGTTGACCTGGTAATAAAGGATGGATGATGTTTCATTATTTTTTGAGAGAATCCTAGTACAACATTTTCTTTTTTATTCCAATGAATCTTAAATATGTGGAGTTCTTTTTTTTTAAAGAGGGGAAGGACTTCTGAATTTGAGGCAAAATTTGTTTAATTCAGTATTTACTGGACCTCATTATTAAAATACTTAAGGCAAAGCAACAGCTCCTTAGAGAAGGCTTAGAGAACTCCTGTTATAGGAAATTAAATCAACATTGTCCATTAATCATATGGTATGTCAACCCCCAGACCTCTCTCGATTGTTCTTGGTGAATGTGAGGAACCATTAGATGTGTGAGGTCTTTAAAGGTCTGAGTAAGTCAAAGGGGAAGAGTTTAAAAAAATGCCACCATTAGCACATGAAAGAGACTTCAGAGTGGACAGAAGAAAACATTTGCTGTATTTGGCCAGTTATTTCTTAATTTTTTCCTTCTTTTTTTTTTTTTTTAACTTCATTTGTTTAACTAAAATCTAGAAGTTCAGTGATATATTTCTCCTCGACTTTTGTTGCTGTCCAGGAATTGATACTTGACTGGTTGTGATAAAGGAGTATAGGAAAGTTAATACCTTGAGTTTGCAAAAAGTCTTGTGTTTGGAGATAAGCAACTCTACTTCTAAGAATAAGGTATTACACTTTCTGAGAATCCTCATGCCTGGAATAATACCTTCTTTACTTCTATAAGTGCTGTAATTAAACATTACATTAACTTTATTTTCTGCATTGGTGAAATACACTATTGTGGAAAAGGAATTATTTTTTTCTGCAGGACCTCCAACTTTTTTTCCTTCAAAAGAGGCCATTTTGACAGATCAGAGGATTCTTTTGCTGTTAGGAAAAATCTTGTTACGGAGTTTCTCTGTAAAATCTTGTTTTCAGCCTAAAACAGATTCATAGAAAGCAAAGACTATTTAATACAATTCTAGAAGTAAGACAAGGGAAATATGTTCCTTGCTTAGCAGAGCACCAAGCATGCTCTCTGAACCACATTTTCTGCCTCAAATGTTCTCATAGTGGAAATTTGAATGCCCAAGGGCACGTCTACATGTGCCAATATGAGGCACATTAGCCATTTTTAAGGCATGTTAAGCATGCAGTTCTACGTGTGTGCCTTTAATATACCTTGAAAATGGCAGTTTTAGGCTATTTGCATGTAAATTTAATACCTGCAAAAGCAGATATCAAATTTAGGCATGAATAGCTAAAGCGCCTTAACACACATGTCGATGTGCTAAAATGTATTAATGCTGTGTATGTTGACTGACTTGGGACTAACTTTAGTCCCAAGTTGGTCTGCACACTGTGTTAATGTGCCTTAGTGTGTACACATATAGATGTGTGCCTAAATTGCCTTAATTTGCATTAGGCAAATGCACATTAAGTTTAGGTGTGCGTAAAAGCATGTGTAGATGCACCCCATATGTGGTAACTGTGTGAGCATACCCACAAAATTGTATTATACATTATAACAGCAAAAACGAAAACAAGCTATAAGACTGAGAAGTGTTCTGTTTGTCTTTATTTAAAATAAACTGTTCAGGTAGCATTTGCTCTGGGAAGTA